ATACAAAATATCTATTGTTTGTAGGCAAGCAAGTATATTCTTTCAAAATTCAGGCTCAATTTTAATCATATTTGTGAATTTGTATAGTTTTCAGTTTTAAAAAAAGCATCTGTTCTAGCCATAGCAAAATAACAGTCACAGGCTGAGGGAAAGCAGAAATTATTCTCTGTTACAACAGACTGAAAGATTACAACTGAGTGAGAGGACAACTCTTTGAAAGTTTTTACTCCACAGGCAACAAGCTTGATTTGAAACTTCTTTGAATTATTTGAGGGCTAATTCCAGAATTAGTCTGGTTTTTCAAGCACTGTAATTGGGATCAGAACTGGGTCAGAGGATTTCTTCACACTGTCTCATTGGCTGTTTTATAAACATGAGCATATTCCCTTTTTCACTCACTGACAATATCATGGACTAACCTGGAATTATTAAAAGGTTTTTCCAGCATTAAGTATGACCAGTGACATTGTCACTGGAATTTTTTTAAAGCACAAAAACCAAATCTTCTGTAGCAAAAAAAGTGTTTTAAGTCAGAGGACTTAATTTCAAAGTCGACTTCAGCCATTTGAAAGTGATTGCAAACAAAACCAAAACCAATCTTGCATAATGAGCCCTGCTGGAACCTGAAGGTCTCTGTTGCAGTCAACACAAACTTTGTGTCATCCTTTCTCGCTCTGGTAGGCAGGATAATGTGTCCCTGGTATTTTTGGAGAGGCTGGTGAAGCCTGGAGGGAGGTGGGTGTCTGAGAGTCTCATGGACACGAGGGCAGTTTTTACACTGATCATAACAAAAGGGCAAAGAGAGTCTTTTGAAGCAGCAGGGTGAGTGTGACTTTCCAAGCTGTCACATGCACAGTGTAGCACCTTGCTCCCCTGGGGACGTTTCTTTCCAAACAGGACACTCTGCCCTGGGTTAAGTGGCGTTTGCTGTGCACGTACACGTTTGTGTCCTGACCATACATCCATCACCACGGGCTGATGTGTTTGCACATAGCTCAGTGCATGATTGCCTCTGCATGCCTGGCTCCCAGCTATGGGAGATACAATGTTAAACTGGTATCATGAATCTCAGTGTCTATAAAAATCAGATCATCGTGCAGGTTACTGGTGATGAATGTTCATTATTTATTGTTTTGCACGCCCTGAGCACTGTTCTCTGCTGCTCTAAATCACAATGATAGATTTCTTTTTATCTTCTGCATAATGTGAGAGTTGTAAATGTCTCCTAGTGCTACTCACTGATTTTTAAAAAGAAAGAAAACCATGTTCAGCTGAAAGCACAGAGGTGACATCTGTACTATTTCATTGCTTGCTGCACACAGACTTGATTGATTTGCTACAGGGTAATTGAACTTTGAGCTTTGCCAGAGAGTTGAACTACGCTTTTCTTCTACAGGGGGATCTCAGTAATTGTATTTTTCATTTGGCAGTGAGTTATTGAATGCTAAGTAACAAGTCAGCGAAAGAAAGGCCTTGCTTATATTCTCTTGACCATGTATATATCTAGCACATGCAGCTTGTTATGCAGCACTTGCTTACCATTTAGTTTTGTGCAACAATGTTTGCTGGAATATTAGGACCTGTGTTCTCTTTGCCTGTCCTGTCTCTGGGTATCACACAATAAAAGCACACTGACTGCTGTGCTGTTTTCCCCTTAGAAACAACAAAACCTAAGAATCAAAACAAAAATTTTCAGTGTGACCTGCTGTTTCCTTCTCCACTTGGAAGAATTGTATGTACCTGCATCACTCCCAGGGTTAGCTAAGGAGCTTAAAGCAAGGAGGAAACAAGTGCTTAAATCATTTTGATACTTCCAGCAATGAAATGTGTGCACAGGGAATATTCTGTACCAGACTGTCTCCCTGGCCTTTCCTGTGGTGTTTTCCTGCAGAACAGACCCTGGATCGATTCCATAGGTCAGAGGCTCCTGATTTGATTTTTCCTTAGATTTTTCTTTATTTTGTTACTCAGCTCTTGCCACTGGCAGTGATGCTGAGCACAAGGACTCAAGTTGTTTGTTCAGTGACACCCTGCAAGGTCTGTACATATGTGGATCTGCTACCCAAGCTTGCCTGCTGTCCTTCCCTGTCCCTGACATTGCTGATCTGCTCCCACCTGGGCCAGGCAGTATTTCAGTGCTGGACAAACAGCCAGGGGGATGAACGCAGGCATTTGGAGCCAGATGCAGGTGTCAGTCTGTGACACACAGTGAGGCACAGCCTGTTACCACCTGAGGCCTTTTCACTTCCAGTCTTAATGCAGCCACCACACGTGGGTTGTTTCCAAGATTAAAACCACTGCAGGCAGCATTTCTTGCCAGGACTTTCTGTGAAAAATTACACAGTTGAAGGAAAGCAAGGGCAATGTGACCAGCTCAAATATTCTCCCCAGCTGGCACCCCTAAACTCTCTTAGCACAAGTCATTTATTTCCATTTACTATTGGGATTGTTATTTTTATCTCTTCCTTTTATTTTGTTTTGTCTGCTTTTCTGTTCATGGTTCTGTTCTAACCATAGGTTTTTCTTTACAGGTGGGTGAAGGTAAAATATAGTGACCCTCTGAAAGAAAACCTGACATATGAGAGTTTGTCAGACTGGGTTTTTTGTATGTACCCACCTCACTGGCATTTTAAATAAAATCAAAAAATTCCACACAGATGTCTCCTGTGTCTCACAGTAGTGATATAAATATCTCAGTATCCCCTTTTTGTGTGTAGTCTTGTGGGCTTGTTTCTGAACATTATGTTGGTGTCTCTAAATGTACTTCTTCTGTCCTACAGCTGTTTGAAATCATGGTTTGGATTGTTTCCAACTTACCTACAACTTCAAGAGTGTTAGTAGAAGTATAGTAAAGGCTGGACACTCTTGAACATTCATTTGTTGGTAGCACAGGCAGCATTAAGCAAATTTCTCCGTAACAGCACCTGAGGAGCGGGCAAGGTTGAAGGTAACTATCAACTTTAAAGTGAAAAGACCTTTCTTCCATGAAGAAAAAGTGCTGACCTCAAACCTAAGCCTGACTGCTGCTCTGGGTCATCCCAGATATGTCCAGTAATCACGAAAAGCTTCGTTTTTCTGTTTCTAGGTGTTTTGGATGGTTTTTCTCTTAAGTTGCTGATTTTTGCGTTTTGTTTAATAGCAGTGCTGAATAATGATGCCTCCTTGTTCTATTCCCCCTAAAATATTTCACATGCTCTTATATCAAAGTGCATAACAGTCGATACTTTTATTGTGCAGATTTATTAAAAGAAATGTAGGTTTGAAAATAATTTCTAATGTTATGTTCTCTTCAATTTTTTTTCAGCCCTATGAAATGTTATTTGTAGCTCAGTGTCCCTTTTCTTACCTAACTGTGCTACTAACCTTCATTACCTTTCAACCTTTCCACACAGGCAGCTTGGCTCTGTGAAAATGCTCCTGTCTCTCTCATTGGTAGAAGTGTTTAAAAAAGGGGTTTCTGTCCTGCACAGTACTTTGAGATTTCAACATTTGCTGTTCTGCATAGCACAACATTGTCTTCCTGAGAACTTCACAAAATCATGATACTAGTGCCAAAATGCTCGGTGTCTGGGGGCTGTCAGCAAACCCCCAGCCCGTAAGGAAGGCTGACTCTTGCTCTGACCTTCACCCACAGCCCTGGAGCAAGGATTTGAACTTGTGTTTCCTCCACTGCAGGGCATTAGGCTGCTTTGCATGTTGAAGTAGACTAGCAGACTTCAAAATCCCTTGACATTTTCTATAGTATATGCAGATCTCTGGGTATAGCAAATTTAAACTACTTAACGTAGACTTAATTTACTTATTAGCTCCTTATAAATTATTGTAAAGCAGACCAGTATTCTTCTATTAAGGGATATAACAGGCTGTGGGTTTGAGCTGCTCCTCTTGATTTTTTGTGTGCTGGTGATGCCAACCTCGATGTGATGTTTTATGGATCACAAATTCCATCTGGAGTCTGAAAAGTCATTGCCAGTGCAAGTTTTGTTTCTTGTTTTTGTCAAAACTGGCATGGTTCCATGAGCAATTTTGGCTTCACTGAATTATTTTTCAGTATAGAAGAGTTTATTAAAAAAAATTCCTGAGTAGCAGCAGTTGATGGTTCTATGATTGACTACAAGTATGTCTCTTAGCAACATGACTGAAAAAAGGTCCCCCCACATTGCTCATTTGTCCAGAGATTTCCAAATGGATGTGGTTACCTTGATGATAAACCATCTCACTTCTCCAGTACTCCTTGCACCATATTTTGTGCCATACTGTTGAAAAGTCTTCTCCAGAGTGACATTAAAAGTATAAGCCCTAATTTCAGACTCCTGTTTTGGGACATGTGTAAAATGCCTTCCCAGGCAGCTGAGTAGTGCTACCACACATCACCAAAGCATTCACTTCCTTTCCCAGTAGCTCTTCTGAGCCAGGCCTTGCAAAGGATAGAGACCTGTGGAGTTCATTTTGCTGTCTGACAGAGGTTTTCAGAGCCAGGTACAGCCTGTGGACCTTTCATCTGGCATCTCTGTGCTGGTGACAATGACAAATTATTGGCTTGCTGATAGTCAACATAATTTTGATAATCCTTTCTTTGAAAGAGATTGCTGTAGTTGGTTGTGAACAAATGCTCCACTTTCACAAGATTTCACAGATGAGATTCTGCAAGAGGCTGCCCTGCTGTCCCCTGCACCTCCCCATGGCGGATCCCTCTGCTTTCTCAGAGAGCCTCCTCAGGCTGCAAGGACACTGTGTCACCACCACAGCTGCAATATGTGTTGATTTGAGGCTGGTTAGTGCTGAGCACAGACTTGATGGAGGCATTGCTGTGTGAGAGAGATGGCAGGGGTGCTGCCTTTCCCCACTCCCAAAGAAGGGTGTCCAGCACTGATGGAGACGTGGTCATGGAGTGCTGGCTGCCGTGGCCCCATGGTAGCAGCCACTCTACCTGGCTGCAACTGCATTTGACTATGAAGTAATGCCTCTGAGAAGCAGATGCTGTCACTGTTCAGGGCTCTATTTTGCTTCAGGACCAACCTATGACAACGTGCTCCATGTGACCAGGGCTAATGTGGTAAGAACTGCTCAGCTACACGTGAGGCACTGCCGGGCTGTGCTGGCTGCCCCATGGCCTGAAGCAGCTTTACAAACCTGCTTCACAAACCCCTTATCTACCATGGAGCTCTCTACTCGAGATATCTCTTCTCTCCATATGCTATGGGCAGCAGCACCTTAGCTGGGTTTGTAATGCAAACAGATGGGTGAGCATCTGAATCTTTCCAGGTCCACAGAGCTGCCCCATCTCTCTTACTTGCATGGCCTTAATTTTAATTTCTTTGGGGCATGTTCTAAAAGCTTCCTGTTTTATATAAGGCTTTGAAGGGCATATAAAGAAATCATGTGAAGGTGCCTTGGGAATGTTCCTGTCGTCACTGTCCAGTGCCTGATGCAAATTGTTTTCTTCACTTTGTTATTTAAACTGCTGGCAGGTGAGTTAATAAATTTTAATAGAATGCTACAGGGTGGGCTTCGGAAAGCTAATTATTTGAAAGGCACTCAGAAATGTTAAAAGGTCTCTTTTAATGCCAAATCTAAAGAAAGTGATACAATTAAATAATGGTCTAGTTTTTTTTTCCTAAAAAAAAAAAAATTAGAAGAGAGAGAAAAGGAAGAGGCCAATTCAATGGGAGTAATTACTTTTGTAGTACTTGTTAAAAGTCTTCCAAACCCCTTGTTTTTGTTCAGGTACACATATCTCTGATATCTTAATTGTCAATATTTGAATCAAGTTAACAGATGCTTCTCTGTTTTTACTTGACCTGCCTTTGTGCTGTGGTTGGTATCACGATACCCAGGAAATCCACAGCAGGGGACATTAAAATGGGAATATTGGGCCAGCACACAGTACCAACCACCCTCAAGGGCAGCTGGAGATACTGGTCCACTAAACTGGATCGACCAGTGCAGGGACTGGTGGTGTCTGTGTGAAAGGGTCAGCTTCCAGAGAGGGTTAATCAGAGGCTGGTTGGTGTCCATCCAGGCAGTGGGAAGGGAGGCATTCAGGAACTCTGAGATTATCCCATCAACCTCGAAGTGACTGTCTCACTTGATAGGTGAGACAGTCATTCCTTAGGATTTTTAAGTCATCCCTCTGCTCCCTTGGTGGTGTGTATAAGGTTATACAGGGCAAGTAGATAAAGTGTCCCCTAAAACCAAGAGATTTGCAGTATTTTTCCTGTAGAAGAAAACAATTTCTGTCATCAACATGTCTCCTTGTCGTTTTCCTTTTAAGCCTCTGTCAGTAACAATAGAGTTTGGCCTGCTGTATTCACCTTATGCAATCAAGGGAGTGGATTTCCACAAATGTTTGTGTATTCACGTGTCAACTCTGCTCCACCCTGGGTGTGAGAACACCTCCAAGGTTAGAGTAGCAAGTTCTGTACCTTCCTCTGGCCTTAAACCATTAAATATGTTGAGTGGTTGACTCTTGCCGTGGTTGAAAAGCACTGATAAAGGACTGCAGGCAATTAAATCTTACTGTATTTCAGCTGTTTTACCTTTAGTCGTGTTCGTCTTAAACTGAACACTCTTCAGAACACCTCTTCACAGATTATTTCTTTTTTATTCTTGACTGTGCCAAGGTAAATTTATAATAGAAGTTTTTTTTCATTTGTGTATAACTTTGAGAAAGACTTTCAGCCGATAGTTTGACTGACCTTACAAAGAACAGAGCTGAGCAATTTTGTTTAATCTCATCATGTTGGAAAAGATGCACTTGTCCTAAGAAATGAAAAGATTAAAAATGCAGTGGTTGTACACAAGTCTGTTCTCGTTACATTTTTCCAAGTAACTGTTTCAAGCCTTTATCTGTTGTTGAGCTTTGTTTCTATGACTAATAAACCTATATTGAGACAAATAATGAAATATTGATTCAGCAACTTGAAACTTTTTCAACTGCCATTTTATTCAGTGCCCCCATAGGCAGCACAGCAGAATGGAAGTTTTATTGTGGACTGAACAAATCCAGTGGTTTGAGCATGACATGGTGAAATTGTAACATAGCAATAAAATCGCACGGCACATTTATGCCATCTGTTTCATAGTGGGAAAACAACACTTTGGTGATGGCCTCAAACAATAAACCTGGATTTAGAAAAGAATAACAAATGGAGCTTGTAGTATTAGGAACAGTGTAAGATATTGTACATCCTCCTTCCCACACTGTTGCTCAACTGCAAAGTTCTCCCAAGTGCTTTTTGGTTTAGGTGTCCTTAGCTGTTATAGTCTGCTGGTTTCAGGGCTCAAAAAAACATCTTTGACTCATAGAACACGGATTCAACAGATATTTGCCTCTTCCTATCTCATCTATTGCTTTTATCAGCTTTCCTTTTTTGGAGTGGGCAGGCAGGAAGGGAGTCAAGTCACATTGCTCCTCCATCAGTCAGTGACAAGAAACAAAGTTAAAGGGTCATGATTGAAGAGCAGGAGGCAAGCATGAAAAAGTTTTCTTTAATCTTTCATCAAAACAGCGTAAAGTCTAAGACATGAGCCCTGTGTTATCAGAAATTGGGGAAATTAGACTACTATAAATTATGTAGTATGTGCAGAAAAGGTTTTTTTGTGTTTTCCTTGGGAAATCAGTGATGTAAGATAAGAGGGTTCTCTTATTCTGACCACTCATCAAACATTTGATATTGTGGCCCTTGTATTTTTAAGTGACCTGTGACCTGAAAGAAGGGGCCATAAAACACTGTTCTTGTAAGCTTTTGAAATCTGTAGATAGAGAATATGATTAAGATAAGTAATAAATCCTGTTATTAACTATTTTTGTTGCAAGGTTATAAATGTTATATCTACCTAATAAGAACTAAATATCTTTCTTCAGCTTCAAACTAAAAGAGAGTAGGTTTAGATTAGATATTAGGAACAAATTCTTTTCTCTGAGGGTGGTGAGGCACTGGAACACATTGCCCAGAGAAGTTTTGGATGCTGCATCCCTGGGAGTGTTTAAGGCCAGGTTGGATGGGGCTCTGAGCAACCTGGTCCAGTGGAGGTGTCCCTGTCCAAAGCAGGAGGGCTGGAACTGGATGATCCTTAAGGTCCCTTCCAACCCAAGCCCTTAATATGATTCCATTCTATAATACTTTGGTGCATGGAATCTCCTTCAGGGAGTTTCTTACTGTTTTCTATGCCCTCATTTCCACAACAGTCCTCTGTAATGTATGTGGATGACCTTCTGTAATGGTATCTGTTTCAAAGTCTCTATACTGACTTTTGGAGGAGGAAAGGAGAACACAAAAGATGTCAACGTTGTTGAAGCCACTGGTTTCTGGTCCAGCTACAGCACTGTGATTGCCTCAGGGCATCTACACACTTCCAGTGGCTAAATCTCTCTCTGGCATGTCCTCCTCAGCTCAACTACCCTGTCCCCATTCCTAGTTCTGCAGCCTGATAAAAAGTGGCAGTTTCCTGCAGCCTCCCCTGCATAGTGCTGCTTTACAGAGTGAGACCTTCACAGCTAATTGCCCTGAGTCTACCACCTACTTCTGTGAAGGGGGTTTGCATCCTTACCCAGCTCTCTCAGTTAGGGACCTGGTTACCTGCCTGGCACAAATTGGTGCCTGTCAGATATTAAATAAGAAGGATGGAAGCAACTGGGTTTGTTTGTGTTTAAGCTGCAGAAGCACAGTTTACATTTTTTTTTTTATAGTCTTTGCCAGTTTTAAGATGAGAGCTTGAAAAATGCCATTAACATGAAGAATGGTCACAAGGTAATAAAGAAACAATCTTCTCACTTTAATGACTTGAGCTAAAAGCTAAATGACTGTAGCAGCTCAGACTGTAAAAGCAGTGGGAAATTTAATGAACAGTGACCCCACAGGAAAGTCAATCTGTCTATTAATGTTTAGTTCTGTCATTTCTTCTGAAAAGTAATAAACTTCTATTATATAATCTATTGGTTACAGAACCTGGGGTCAGGCTCCCGTTGAGCTTAACTCTGCCAATCTGCCTCAGCTGAAATTACTGACCTTCCCCATGTAATAGGTAAACATCCCAAGCAAGATATAACTGTGCAGGTACTCAGGGAAACAGTGTGATTGTGAGGAAAGGAAATTGTCGTGAACTTGACTGCAAAAGCTCTAAATGGTTTTCATATTCCCATAATGGTAAGCGGATTCAGCCAGTTAAATTATGTAAAATATAATGAATGAAACTGTGATTAGTCAGTAGTGGCTGATGCCCCAGTTCTATAACATGTCATTCATCTGGATGCTCTAGAATACTTATTGCAAATCTTGTAGCAAAGGTGGCAATCAAGTAAGAGATAAAAATATGAACCCTTTTGCTTATGTTTAGCTATTAAGAACATGTATTTACTTAGCCAGGTAGCGGCAAGAGGCATCTTGAAAATTGGCTGATTTAGAGAAGTGTATTTTAACTACAGACTAAAAGCTGGAAAGCTCCAAACTTAACCATCCACATGGGTTAATCCTGTGAGCACAGGCCTGGAAGAGGCTGGAGAAGTCCGCTTCTGGAGAAATCTGCAAAGTAGAACCTGCCCCATCCCACAGAATTCTTCATTTGGGCTAAAGTTTCAGATTGGCTTTGTTTTAATCTTCTCTACTTAAATCAGAACCTGATCCTGTTTGGTTATGCTTTGTGACCAGCATGTTTGAGTGGCTTTGTACAGCAGCTTGTCCTGTGAGAATGGGATTGTGTATGGGTGGGATGTCACTTTGGAAGGGGCTGAGCTGACAAAACTCTTCAGCCACTCATCTTTCTTTTTCCTAGTTATATAGTAGCAATTATCCAAAGTCCAATCTCTGTCACATGTATCCATCACAGTGTTCAAACTGGAGACTTATTAATTGGTTACATACTGTATGTCACATTAAATCTGTATTTTCTTCTTTACGATGCTTTAATAAAAATTGTATATGCCTATTTACATATGTTTCTCACAGATAACATTTCTTTAAAGCCCATTCAAGTTTATTTTTGCTTGAAAGCCTATTGCAATTTGCCTTCAAATATACAGCACAAGTAGAGCTTCACATTTAAAAAGTCACAGAACTTTTTATAGTTTCCATCATTTTTTCCCTCTTTTTTCTTTTTTTTCTAAGCTGGCATTTGGTTCTGTGGGCTGGAAAAACTGCTTTCCCCATTAGTAACGTCCTTTCCTATTAAACAAATCTTGTTGATGTAAAAGAAATTTTCCATCCAGTGGTTTGGCATTGCTGAAGTGTACTGAAAAGCAGGTACAAACTAGTTTGGAGAACACCACTATTTTAATGAAAAAAATGAACCTATAAAGGCTCATAATGGTCTTCAGGCTGCCTTGACACCAGGGCAGAGCCAGGGTGGGGACAGTGACCAGCAACCACCTGAGGATGTCCAGGCATGGCTGGGGCTATGGGGCAGTTCCATGGCCCAGCCAGGGGCCCAGCAGGTGAAGCTGGGACAGCAGAGTCTGCTGCCCCCAGTGCTCTTCCTCACCACGAGGAGCCAGCCTTGGGCTGGGGCTGCAGAGCTCCAGATGTCCTGGCCCTGGCCTGGTTTGGTCCCCATAACCAGCAAGATCCTCCTTTTGGTGCTGCCTGTTGCCTTCTGCCCACCCCACAGGGGTGTGACAGGGCAGGCGGCAGGACTGCAGCCTCCCAGCCTGGCCCTGGTATGACCTTTGCTCCTTTGGCACGCCTGGGCACAGTCCTGATGCACGACTATTTTTGCTCATGCTTTAATCTGCTTAACATTTTTACCAGAAATGTTTTCTCTCTCCTGGCAGCGTCGTGTGTGTTCAGTGTGTTCAGCCATGAGCAGCCACTCGGTGCCCCCACGCTGGGCCGTGCCCAGCTTCGGGCTGCACCACTCCCACCTCACCTTTTCCTGAGCAGAGCTTCCTGGCGTCTTTCTCAAAGTAAATTTGGAAACTACAGCCTTATTAACTAACCCTGTCAAACACACTTTGTGGGGAAAGGTACCACATCAGTCTTCTGTGTGAGCGTACGTTGTCTCTCCAGCCAGCAGAAAAGCCGTGGGCTGAAGTGCGGTGGTAGCAGTGCTCCCTGCCCTCCTGTGACATAAAAAGGAAAGCCAAATTAAAACACAGAGTAAATTAATTTTTAATTTTTTTCATGATGGCAGCACAGGCACTTCTCACAGCAGGGCACAGAATCATTAGAGACTGATCTGTCCTAACAGGTACAGAAGTACTTCTGTAATTATCCGAGTACAGTTTCTTTCCAATCTGGTAAGACTTGCCTCCTCAGCACTGACTCAGTCCCTGTGGCATCAATGACTCTGCTTTCCAACATCCCCACTCCTGATCTCGGAGGGCATCAGCTCATCCTCACGAATAATGACGGCCTTGTGCGTGAATCTAACATGGAGTGTGCAGGGGACACGCGCACAAGCCACAATTTCACCGACGGTGACTAATCAAACTACTTAATTCTTCCATTCCACAGAGCTGCCTGACAGTTCACAACAATTAAATAACAAGATATGTGGGAGAAGCACACACAGTAATGCCTATGTCATGCAAAATATGTTGACCTTTTGTGTCTGCAGGTCTGCCACAACCTGCACCCCGGTTGCTGCCATCTGCCCACACCGGCACAGTCGGCTGCAGGCTGATGGACAGGTTTGCTCTGGAGGAGTCAGTGCTGCCAGGCCTTCCTGCATCCCTGCAACACCCTCCCTGCCTTCCTGTGCTCTTCGACTGCTGCTCATCCTGCTGCAAATAGTGCAGTCACAGCCAGCTGTTAGGATCTGATTATTAAAAGATACCTCTGCCCAAATTAAGGGCAAAAAGAGACCACATGCCAAAGTCAATAGCATGGATTTTATTTGACAGTAAATGTGAGGGAGAGAAAAACAGGAAGAGGGGGGAGGGGGAGAGAAAAAGAGTGAGAGAGAGAGACAGATTAAGTAAAAGATCACCACCACATGGATTCTGTTGGCATCCCCGCTTTTTCTGATCTTCTCGGTGGTGGAAGTCCCGAAGTTGTGCTTCTGGAATACCACTTTTATACAGTTCAAGTCCTGGATATTCACAGGACATCAGGAGATGTTCCCACAACTTGGAATGGCATGGGTGTAAGTAGTTGTTTTCTTTCCCACAGCTTGCACAGTGAAATATTGGTTTGCTCATTTCAAACCTTTACCTTCATTTAGGTTTGGAATTAACACTTTTCTTTCTCACAGTTTTCCACAGAGGGAGTCTTTGTCTGGATAGGTTACCCAGATCTGCCTTACCAGGCCTGGTTCCTGTTGTTGCCATCTGCTTTTATCACAGGTTCCTTTTCTGGTGACTTATGGGAATTTCTTTCTTTGACAGTGTTTTGCGACAATTAAGTCCTCATTTTTTAAGTCCTGACACCAGCACAGTCCTTTATCTCACCTTACTTACTTATTTTGAGCAACTGCTTGTAAGAATGTGTTTCCTCCTTCCCACAGTGTTAGTCACAGCATTTCTGTTCATCTCTCATTTACCTGTCAAAATCTGGTTAAGGACTCTGCATCCTCCTTTCTAATAGCTGGTGACACTGCAAATCACTACCAGAGCCCGCAGCTGGTGAGAAACTTCTGTGCAACACAAAGCAAAGACAAAACACTCGTCTACAACAGTATCACTCAGAAAAAAATATTTCAGCTGCATCAGATAAGACAGCTGCAAAATACGTACAGCCTTTTGGTGTATAAGAATATGAAGTATGTGGAAAAAAAAATATTTCTGGATGGTGCTATCAAAAATGTTTAGCACATGGTTAGCAGTTTCCAGTCAAGTGGAAGATAAACCTTTTATAGACTGCAGCGATTTGCTGTCAGTGGCACTTTCAAAAAGCTCAATTCAGATCAACCAGGTTAGGAGGTGATACAGACATTTGTCAGCTAAACAAAGGAGGTTACAGACCCGAGGGTGAGATACAAAATAAGGCATTTAATTGCATAAGAGTCAATGAGAGTAGCACATGAACCTATGGAATTGTATTCATACAATTAGTTAGTCCTATTAAAACATCTGATAAACTTGCTACCCCCTGAGGATGAGTTGTAGCATTGAGCCTCCAGTTTAATTGTCTTATAGAATGTCTGAGATGTGAAAAAAAATTGGTTTTCTTCCAATGTTTAGGTGTCCTAGATTGGATAGCAGCAGAGGGCCATATTAGCTTCTGAGAGATGAAAGAAATTTAATGCATACTGATTATATTTTACTGCTATAAGCAAAACAGCAGCACTTTAAAAGAGTAAAATGCTCTTTCTATAAATACTACACATATATTGTAGAATGAAATTCCTGTTTCCAGAGCCTGATTCTTTTTTGTGAAGGGAGGAAGCACCATGGATGTTGCTATGTTGCCCTCTCGTGGGTCGAGCCTGCAAACAGCGGCTCAACGTGCCGGAGCTGCCACTGTGTCACTCACGGGTTTTCAGCGGCCTGAGCTGACAGCCAAGGGGTGCCCTGCCTGAGGAGAAAGGACTGAAAGATCGGCACGTGGTAAATATGTAGTCAAATAAGTCCATTTCCCCCTAAATTCTCTGTTTCTATTTCTGCAGAATACAGCTCTGAGGATAGGTCCCCGTGGGAATTGCAAATGTTGTCCTGTAACATCAAAACAATAAGCATAAAAAATACAGTACCACTCCTCTTCCCAAGTCTCTTTCTGCAGGACTTGATTACTGTTTCTGCAGCAAACAGTAATTGAAGAGCAGGAGGATGAACAACACTATTTGGTGGCAGATGAAGCACAAGCCAGAAGTGAAGGGAGCATAACAGGAAAGACAGTTGACACACAGATCCATTTTGCTGTGCTGTGAGTGATGTCATCTATCACACAGAGTGCTGCAATTGCCTCCCACATTGCTGAATCTCATATCTATTCTGTCCTGCTCTTCTGGGAATTTTAAAACAGCATTTTCCTGTCTAGCCAAGGTACTTTTGTCACCCGTGCTGAGAGAGTTGTCTGAGTACTTCATAGTCTCTGAAATATTTATCCTCTCACTTTTCTTGTCAGGTAAGAAAATTCTCCATTTTGCAGATGACAAAGTGAGGCACATGGATTAATTCTCAGTTCAAAAAAGAGATTTATTCATGCAAAGTGGTGCTTAGGCAGAATTTAAGAGTCTATATCCAAAATGTACATTGTGAAAAGCCCTGTTCAAGGGTCGGAGACATCTGATGGCATGCAAGGAAGCTGTCAGGGAGTTCCCTTCTCTGCCTAAGGGAGAGGAAAAATGACAGCAATTCAACTCTTTTTTATAAGCCATTTATTTCTGTATATGAAATAAAAGTTCTGAAATAAAACTGCATTCAGATAAGACTTTGCATGCAGCCTCTGCTACTCATAACCACCTTGGGGTGGAGGAGGAACAGCTTACAAAGCTCCCAGAAGGGAAGGAATCAAGGTAAGATCTTGTCCTCCCATGCTGTGACTTGCTGAGGGAAATGCTGCCTCTTGTTTTATGCACACTGGACACCTACATCCCCAGGGAAAACCTTCCCTGAGAGCCTGCTGCAGCATCAACAGCCAAGCTACACACGGCCTTGACTTCACTGAGCTGACCAGATAGGCTTATGCTGAATTTGTGAGGCTGTTTGGGGCCTGACCTGCTGTTCAGAATTCATTTCTCAACTCTGAACTATCCTGTTGTTAAGTTAAAAAGACTTTATCACAAAACAGGATGCCCCACTTCCAACTGATAACCTATAGCACTACTCTGAGAAACACCAAACCTGCATCCTAGGCTCTTCTAATCCCATGAAAGTTTGAGCCTTCATCTCCCTGACCTCAGAAAAATGCCCTGAACATCGGGTGCTGATTATTTGAGGTGGGAATGGTCCCCATTACTTTCGGGCCACTGAGAGAGGAAGGTCTGCAGCACCAGCAGAGAGCAGCCATGACCTGCAGCTCAGAGGGCTGTGTGTCTGCAGGCGGGACTCTGGCTCCTACTCTGGAGTATTTTTCTCTGTTTTATGAGAGATGTGTTTCAATTTCCTTACTAGCCTGAGGAACCACAGTGTGCCCCTCCCCAGCCTAAGTGCCTACAGCCAAGGCTACTGATCCAGTCCCCTGTGGGGATTTTGCTCTCACAAATCCACACTTTTAACTAAAGAACAGTCTGAGCTCAGTAAGAGGTGACAATCACCCCTGTGCAAAATGCCTCATAAACTAGCAGCTTTTCCTGTAATGCAGAGCCATTTGTTCAAATGACAGGAAGGGTGATGTTGGTTTGGGAATTAGTCTCCTGGGCACATTTTGTAATCTGTGGCTGTGTAAGAGAGCGGGCGAGATGTTGCAGACACTGAATCCCTGTTTCTCCAGGGAAACATCAAAGACAAGTTTTCAGTTCTCTCAGTGTTTCTGATTGACTGGTTTGAAACTCTCCTGTGCTCAGCAATTTGGCTTTTGGACATTTCCATCCGGATGCCTGATTTTCCCGTCTTTGATGGAGAGTCACTGTCACCCCACTGTCCCAGGCAAAGTAGGAGATTCAGATAAAGTTTATTAAAGAAATCCTCCTACTGAATCACAGGGAACAGAAAGGACCCCCTTGCTTTCTAACTCTGCTACAAAGGGTCCAGTCTTAGCCGCAGACTTTGTCAATAGTTTATGTGTAAAGTATTGAATAGGTGTAATTGAACCTTCATACAATGTTGTCGCCAGGATTAAGGATGGTAAACCATATATATTTATATAAATATATATATGATTTATTATGACAATGATTAGAAAAAAGTTCTTAATCAGAATTATTAATGACACACTATAGGAGCCATAACAATATTATAATGCTATTATAATATAGTGCACTATGAAGCAATATTGAAGCTACATATATATATATATATATATATGCCATTGTATTAAAGCTAGCAAAACCAATTATGCAGAGATTGATGTCACCCATACCAATGACTGTGGGCAAATCGCTTTCACTCAACCTCAAGGAGTAACACTGAGGGACAGCCTCACTCAAGGGAGGAATTTCCACACATACACTCCCAGAAGGGATATGTTAGAAGACCCTGCCATTAAAATTTCGGACCGGGCTTTTATAGTATAAAGTGACTGACTGTCCATCGTATGTCTCCAGGCTGGCTGTGTCAGCTCAGCAGCCTTAGACAAGCAGATGGTATCACTTGTTTCTTCCTTTATCCGGGTGCTTTACCAGGCCTACCACATCTTCACCTCACAATCAGGATGTTTAAATTTGGGATTGATGAGTCAGACTGATTTCACCATTATTCAACACCAAAAGCAGCATGACTCCTCTGTCTCCATTTACCACTGGTAGCTTTGCAAATTGGGCATTATTTGAGTTGTTCTACCTCATTCCAGGCAGAGCATCCTGCTACAACCACCAAGGCACCCCTACAGATGGCATGGCAGAGAGGGTGCTGGCAACCCTGGTGCCACGAGCTGCACATTAAAACTCTTAAAGCCCAGTGCTGGACACCTGCTAAAGTGCTCTCATCTATTGAAAGCAAACAGCCATGTTAGATAGAAAGCTTTGTTTTCTTTCTTGCATTTGGGACAAATCACTCTAGAGCCTATCTCCCCTAAAAAATTACATCTGAAAGAGGTTATTCATGTGGCTTATGAACAGCACTTAAATTTAGGCAGCTAATTTAGCCATCTAAATTGGGAGACTATCCTGCCTCATTTTGCTTGTATGGAGTGTGGGGAAA